GCGCCGGGCGGGAGGAGGCTGCGCGCCGCTTGGAGAAGACGTGGGGGGAAGGCAGAACCTGTCCTTCACCTTCCAGTAAAGGCGCGTGTCGGCTCCCAGGTGCGGGGATGTGCAATTCCCTTCCACCTCGCCAGTGCCATGCTGTTTTCCATCTCACAAAGAATGTGTTTGCTATACAAGAGCCCACCCCTGCCGCACGGAGAGAAGCCAGTCCCTGCATGGCAGGGCATGTTCCTGCTCAAAGTATTTTATCTCATCCCCACAACACAACGCCTGATGCCAAAAAAATACCACCGTGCAGAGTATTTGGGAGGATGTTAAAGCTTGTTCTCAGCCATCCGAATAGAGGGGTGCTGGGGCCAGCGAGGCTCCCGCCGCCCGCTCTGCCCTCCCGGTGCTGGGGGGGGTCCTGAGCCCCGGACGCCCCGTGTCGGGGGGCAGCAGCGCTTGGCAGCGAGCACGGGACCGGGAGGGCCACCAACCCTGGGACGGCTAAAGAGGCAAACAAGATGAACCATTTTGAGGCAGTATTTCTAGGCAAGTTCAGGGAATATATAAAGGGGAGAGGTCTCTACCAGGGTGAGGACGCGTTGGACGCGTGGTCGGCCGGCGGCAGGTACCAGCCCCCACGGAGGCGAGCCGGGGCTGGCTGGGGAGGTGTCCCGGGGGTCAGAGCCCACTCTGTGCTAGAGACAGCAGGGAGATGCTGTGGTCCTTAGAGGGTGTGATCGGGAGGTGTAACGGGAAGCTGAATCCGGCAGCGAGAATTAAGCCTCAGTATTGGAGGCACGTGGACTTGCCCAGAGGGAGAAGATGCTCAGAAACACCACCTTTTGCTGAAATCCCCAAATTTTGCACTGCTGCCTGCTGATGCTGACTCCACCGTGACTCTACGGCCAGGTTAGCTTCTCCGGTGCGATCCCGCATCTCCAGCGGGGATTGTGCCTGAGCTGGAAGCACGGTCCTGCTTGGAGCGCAGTTACTCCCCTCTGCCCGGCTGGAAGAGGAAGGTCTCGCGCGGCCGTGGCCCACATAGCCTGCTCGCCCGCGGTGCCACGGGGCTTCACACCCTCCTTTTGAGGAGAAAACATGGCAAAACAAGGGTTATTTGGAGGGGGGCTCTTCCTTGCCAGGTGTTAAAATACTGACAACTCCTGTCAAAGGATCCTTTCATGTAGACATTCCCGGGCAGTCCTCAACATGCCTGGGAAATATAACTGCTCTGGAAGAGTAGAGGTGCATTATGGCAAGTTATTTGGTAACAAATTCTCTCATTATACCATGTTATGACATGGATAAATCTCTGTTAAATAGCAGAGCGATTGCCCCGCAGGGAGAAAGGCTGCCGCTCAACACAGGCATGCCTCCACTGATAACCTTATCGTGTCTTAACAGCTCCAGGATTGCCTTCAAAGATCCTTCCACAATAACAAACTATTCTTTTAAGGAACTCCGTGCTGATAACTCTGGGCAAGAGAAGTCAGGGCTGTGCCCTGTGCGGCCGCGGTCCCCGCTCCTCGCAGCGTGCAGCCGCTGCGGGGGCAAAGCACTGCCGGTCCCGCAGTCACAGCCTGTTCCCGGCCACCGGGCGAGCGAGTGGTGTGGTTTTTAGGATCTCAGGAGGTTCCTCATCCTCAGCTGTGTTTTCAGCCAGGAAGAGCCCGCGGCAGTGTACGCTCTCCATAGGGGACAGCAAAAGGCACGTCTCGCTCAGGTGCCAAGAGGAGTAGGTGCCTCTGCTCCTACGTGGTCATCTAGACTCGCTAACGATCCGCCGCACACGCGTCTCTGTGCAGGGCTGCGCTACACAATCTGATTTACTGCTCCTTTACAAGCGGCAGCCGAAGTGTGCGCACCCGCCTTTGCCGCGAGCACGAAGGCACTGTGCGTTCCTCAAGTGCGAGACAGGACAGTTGCAAATGGGACCCGGGAGGTCAAAACGCCGATATGCCATCACATAGACCAGTGCAGCCACCCCGCTGCTCGGAGCTCTTCTGTTCGGGCTGTGTTTCTGCCACCCGTACCAGGGGTGAACCCCGGGCTCGTCACTCGTACCCTGCCTGTTCCTTGGGTTCCTTGGCCAAGCTGACCTCTTGAAACCGGCCACACACGGCAGCTGGGTGACAGCCAGAGCTCACGCTGCCGCCCCTGGGTGCGGGAGCAGCATCTCGGGACACCTGAACGCGTCCCCGGCGCTGGTGCCTCCAGAGCTCGGCCTCAGCACTTCTTTCACACCTACAGCAGAGCCCGGGTAGGTTCTGCCCCTGGGCACCTCCTGCCTTTCTACCCAGTTCCTGCTCTACCCTTTGCGCCGGTCCTGTCTGCCCCTCCAGCTGCGTTACCGCCAAAGCCGTCTCTGTTCACAGAAACTGCCAGAGAGCGTCTGGTTTTGCGCGTTTGCAGAGCACAACAGGTTCACGTGTCGGTGTGGCTTGTGGGTGCTGGTTCGGTGTAAACAGCAGTAACAGCACTGAGCGATCTCCCTGACGTTCAGGCAAACTTGCAGGACGTTATATTCCTCCGGGTGTTTTCTGTCGTCGCGCAGCTTTCGATGTCAGCCCTCATCTGCGGGGGTGACAGTATTATGCCATCTCTGTCACCGTCCCTTCCCCGCTACCGTGACCTGTCCTGCAGTGCAAGCCCAGAGCGCTAGGAACAACTGGAAAAGCCAAATTATTTAAGCACTAGCAGTATATCAGCGTTAACCTCGGTTTCTCTAGGGACTTGGTACCCCGAAGTGTCTTTAGATGGGGTTTCTTTCACCTCTGCGTTGAAAAGCGGCTACTTTTTGGGTGAGAGAGAGACCATGCAGCATCGGTGCTGAACAGAATGGGGAACAAGAGTACTGGCGCGACGTGGTTTAGAAGTGGGCCGGGTAGAGTTAGATAAGGGTTGGACTTAATGATCTTGAGGGTCTTTTCCAGCCATAACGATTCTATGATTCTATGACAGAGCCCCGTGGTGCAATTGGCCCCGGCGGGGGTTTGCCGGGGTTATCTTGGTCCCGTGGCCGCTGTATCCAAGGAGATGTCGTATGCATCCCAAGATGCGAATGAGCTAACGCCCCACAACGACTCACGGCGACTGATACGGCTGCAGCTGGGAAGCAGCGCTGAAATTAAGCCTCAGCATCCACTGCTGCTCGCCCTGAGCAAGCACCCGGACCCGCTCTGGAAGAGGCCACCGCACTGCTCAGACCCATCGCTGCCTCTCCTGCGCAAGAAGCGAGAGCGGGGAGGGGTGGCTTTCCCCGCGGATGCTGAGAGCCTCGCACGAAAAATAACCTGAATCTTCTGCATGGAAAGACCTACTGGCAAAGTCCATCTCCCCCCCAGCCCTCCCTGGGCAGCAGAACCGCTAGGAGGATGTGTCCCAACAGATTCGGAGCTGATAAAATCTTATTTATCTTCAACTGTTGACACCGAAGCGTCTAGACTTGCCTGCTTCGGGAGGGCTGCAGCCAAGTCCTCCTTTCTCTCTTGAAGGAAATGATTTGCTCAACAATTACTTTTCCCACAAATCCTCCCCCCTCCTCCCTACCAGCCTCCTCCTCCTCTACATTCCAGTCTCCTCATTAGCTCTACTCAAGACGTGTC